ATATAGATTAAATATTTAGTACAGAATATTAGTATATAATACTAGTATAGGTTAAATATTTAGTACAGAATATTAGTATAGATTAAATATTTAGTATAGAATATTAGTATAGATTAAATATTTAGTACAGAATATTAGTATATAATACTAGTATAGATTAAATATTTAGTACAGAATTAATATACAGCATTAACAACGATCTAAAGTATTTAACATGATCAGTAATTAAGATAACCTCAGTATTTGTGGTTATTTAAATTTTGCTATCTCTCCGGGATAATATACTTGTATTAAATATCTTATAATTCTTACTTGAATTTGCGTACAAACTTAATTCCGATGAAAGTCGAGTCAAAACATTTTATATATAACACGATGATATAATTGTTCGAACATATTCGTGAGCAATTGCAAGAATTAGATGGCACTTCTTAATTTTCAAGTTTCTTCGTCAAGTTTCCACGGAATGACCAACGTTCGAAGGCAAAAAAAAATCGGATAAACGAAACATGAATTAAATAGTCGTTTGGACTTGGTCTCAGTTTTACGAGCATAAATTATATATTCACTTACACACTTTTATGCGTGCGCATCCTTCTTCCGAGAGATATTTCTATAACAGGTAGGGCAAACTTTCAATGGGTGAATTTATGTACCGGCAGATAGCAAGGACAATATAAATGAGATTTTAAATATACGTATCGCAAGCCTGTCGGCCGTGGGACGCGTGCGCGCGAGAGGCCTGCTCTCCCTTTTTAAGCATATTTTCTATTTTCCACGACGAAAGGGACGCGATAAATAATCGACGCATAAATCTCGTCGCGTGGCGCGGACGTATTCGATCGTTTAAAACGGGAGAGGGCAACCGCGCTATTATTTTCGCCGCACACTCCGGCGACGGATTTTCTCGGGGAAATTCACGACGTGCCTTTCTTCCCGAAACTCGAAAACTTCCTACTGATCGTTATGAATATTTAACGCTTAAAAATGACGGCAATCGACCGTGATTCGTGATCTTCGTTCCTTCTGACTTTGCTCTCAACTTTCACGGTATATTATTAAAGTATCGAATTATTATTAATAAATGTCTATTCTTGGAGAAAGAGAGCTGTATAACGTGAATATAAATATCGTTTCGAAGGATCAGTTTGTCTCGAATCGATATAATTAATAATGATAATTCTTTGCTGAATAATAATTTGAAATTAATGACAACTATTTCTTAGAAATTCATGAAATTAATCCTCATGTGTCCCCTACTTTCGCAACATAATAATATGAATGTAGTAATAATAAAATTAATAATAAGTAGATTAAATGTATATTCAATTACATATGAGATTTACATAAATCCTATTATTTTCACACACAGGTATTTATTTAATTTCACATCACGATCTCCAATGATCATTTTTTTATTTTCACTACATAATATTCAAAACTACAGGTATCTATTCATAGATATTTATTGAACGTGTAATTGTACATAATTATTAGATAATGTACTATCTCTCAAATGTTCTGAAAACATTACCGTCACCTCCAGTCACATATTTTGTTATTAAAATGTCGATGTGCTGTGTATCAGAAAAATCGACATCACACAGCTTCACCTCTGTATCTGTGTTTACATACTGTAAAATAATATAACATTTTATAAGAAAAATATGTCAAATATTTTAATTATTATAAATAATAAAATACTAAAATATTTGTAAAAAATGTTTCTCTTTCTTTTCCTTTTTTCCAAAATGGTTCAGCTGAAATAATCCTGATATTATTACCATTTCGAATGATTATTTCCTTTGTGATGGCGTAGGTCACAGACACGCTGGAGAAAATAAAAGATGTTTAATCTTTACACCATATTGAGGATTTCAATAAATCAACAATTCAACAGTAAAGTAAAAGTTGATGTAAGTTTCTAAGACTAATATAAGTTTCCAAAAATCTGCATTAAGAAGAAAGATGATCTGTTATTTACGTAAAAGATTTAGATTAGAGGATGTAAAAGAACAAATTAGATTAAGAAATTACCAATGATCGACTGATAATTTTTACTGCAATAATTATAAATACTGTTCTACAATGCTGGAGACATATCGTATTTTCAGAATTAAATCTAAATATCAGGATTGAAATTAAATTTAGATTAAATTTAAATCAATGAAGTGTTTCTTATTTAATGTACCTGAAAAGATTTACCTTTCACTGTTGCATATAATCAGAAAAATTTCCTATAAAGTAAAATGTAAAATCAGACTTCTGTTAAACGTTCGTCGCGGAAATTTATTTCACCATGAATTTCATTATTCTCTATGTACTCCTTCTCAAATAATTCTACAAAATCGAGTTGAATCACAGTCATGAAATATTCCAGCATATTATACGAGGCATGGTTCTATAATGTCGAGCTAGTGAATAGGCGAAATCAATTTTCAAATTAAATTCTTTCATTACCCGTGAAAACGGCTTTCATGGGGGTAAGGAAGGACGAGCCAAAGTCAAGAGCCGAGGCGGTGTGAATTTCATTAAAAGTGGCCGAACAGCAAACGGCGCTGGCTGTGGCTGAGGGAGAGAACGAATGAATTTATAGTTTTTAATATTTGTTCGCTGTTCTGTGTTCCATCGTTGCCCGTGAATAGGAGAATAGTGGCGAAGGACATAAACAGCGTTATTTACAATAAGCTATTATTCGACTTGTTGATTAAAAGCATCGTTTCCTTATATACGTATACGCGACATTAGGGTTTCGATTATGTCTGCTGGGCATAAACTTGAACAAACATAATACATACACCGTACAATGTCACCATTACACAGCTAATACGTGACGTAGAGTAGAAATTTTAGAAACAGTTTTCTGAATGACATTTTTATTATGCTAGGAGTGTGAAACTTGCCTCTAAATTGAATAGCTGTCAAAGAAACTAAACATAGAATAAGAAATACTTCAGTTGGATTATAATGTTTCAGAAATATTAGTTTCAAATAATTTCAAGGGTTTTCATCATTGCTCCATGTATCGTACGTTTTCAAAATTGTTTGGAAAATGCGAAGTTCTTCATACTTTGATACAAAAAATAAGTAACGAGAAATAATCACATCGATTTTTATAAAAATATTGAATTCTATACAGGCAAGAATTTTTCAACGGTGAAGAATTCCTTTCTTTTGTGTAACAATAACCAAGACAGATATTCATGTGATTCCAACTATTCTATTTTGTGTAGGTACCTAGAGATTAGCTGTTCTAATGTAGCTCTATCTCAAAATTCTGAATTATTTTTCGCGGTCATCTCAATGCTCCCAATCACATGAGAAATTTACCTTACAACGTATAACATTGCGTGTACTAAAAATTTAAAGGCCATTTGCAAGCGTGTTTCGATACGTTAAATTATACTCTTGTTAAAAGCGAGCGAAGCAGCGAGAACGATCGCTTTTAGTAGCTGTGTGTTCCATTTGTGATGTTCAATTGCCAAAAATTGTACATAATGTACGCGCCGCTTCAACGCACAACGCTCATAA